TGAAGCTGATCGGTGAGAAGGCGATGATGCCATTCTTGACAGATATTAACAATCTGAAGATGACGAAGATCAAAGAATGCGCGGATAAGGCAGTGATAGTCGTCAAAGTGACGAGTGATACGAAGGAGCAGGAACGATCCAACACCGCTCCGGTTAAAGTGGAATCGCAGCGAGCGAACAAGGCGAGCAAGGAGAATTCGAAGAGTGGCAAGCCGAGTGCCGCGAGAAGACTCAACACCGCAGCCGGAAAGAAGGCAGCGACTAAGAAAGCTGGCGATTATTCGTCGCTCACAAATCTGGCGACGTCAAAGAAAGCAGTTCAGATGGAGAAGAATTATAGTCTAAATGAGATTGAGGTGATGGTGGCGCAGTATTTGCCAGCCGAGATAATCACCCGTCTCGTAGCCAGTAACAGCAAGATTGCACTAGCAGCTCTAGGTCAGTAATTAATGTTTACTTTACACCATTATTCTTATAATCAATAATTAAGAAATCCTTTATTAATTAATCATTTAATGTATTTAAGGTATATGCAAAATATTGGCGACGACTATTGGACCACCAGTTAAGCAACACGTTCGCGCTCTGTATTATATATTTATATGTGCATTTACGCTCGTGTGTATCTACTACATCTACATAAATTCTTAGAGGCTTTCTTATGATTGGTACCGACTGACACACTCGCATCCTCGATACACATTCGGCCCGAAACGGAAAAACTTATCGTTACTTTTTCTCAAATATATGTTTTAAAAAATCTCTCTTTGTTTCTCTTCCGCCACCCTTTCCCTTTTCCTCCCTTCCCCCAGAGTACATTTTGTCTCGCATTGCCAACGTAAAACGAAAAAAAAAGAAACGAAAAAAAAAAATAGATACGTATTTCAAACGATTGATAACGACGAGCAGAACGTGTGGCGAAAAAAAGAAGCCTGTTTTCTTAGAGGAACTTAAGGTGCGTTTTCACTCATGTCGAGATGTAGGCGACATCATATATCGGAGTCGCCGACATCGTATATCGTAGCCGCCTACGTCGTGTAACGTGGTAGCCTACGTCGTGTAAGATGGTCGCCGACAACGTGTAACCATGGTCGCCGATACCATGTAATCATGGTCGCCGTCATCGCCGTTATCGTATATGTATTAACATAGCATATAAGAATTTTGTAAAGTAAAAGTTAATAAAGTAATAAGAGTATTAAAAAAGTATTGAAAAATATAAAATATAAAATATAGAATATAAAAAATATAAAAAATATGGAAAGGACAAGCGTAAGTAAAAAAGTAAATCTGTAAAGTGTAATAAATATATATAAATATAAATATAAATATAGATATAAATATAAATATAAATATAAATATAAATATAAATATAAATATAAATATAAATATATATAAATAATTTTTTAAAATTAAAAAAGAATAATAAAATGTCGGTAATTGTTTAGGAAGACGAAATTCAGCAGTATTCCTGCGGAGTGTGTGGTGCTAAAAATCTGATCCCTAATGAAGAAAATGAAATCGATCACGAATGCTTAAATGGTCTTTCAGTATCTGTTGATTCAAATTTTGTTATGCGTCCACGAATAGGTATATGTATAATAATAATAATATTTAAGGGGGTAGACAACCGGCCTTGACAAGCGAAAAAATAGATTTTTTTAAGTTAAATATTTAAGAAATAAAGAATTCTGAGTATTTGAAACTTTGGCACATATAATTCTATATTCTTTTATAATTATTAAAAAAAAAATTATTAATATTAATAATAACAGGAGAGTTATTGGTAATGGAAGAGAAGCAGTTCAGTAGCTGGTAATGGACATGAAATTTCGAAAAAACGGCTCCAACGATTTTTTTCAAAAATTTTTTATAAGTTGTTGAAAACAATATCTAATTGTAAGGATGTGTCGGAAACAGAATTTCGAAAAAAATTGTTAAAAGAAAATATTTTATTTGCAAAAAAGTGTAAAATTGCATTTTCTCTAATAAAATTGAAAATGCAATTTTATACTTTTTTGCAACTAAAAAATATTTTTAAAGAATTTTTTTCGAAATTCTGTTTCCGACATATCTTATTAGATATGGTTTCAACAACATACATGGTTACATGATTACATGATTACATGGTATCGGCGACCATGGTTACACGTTGTCGGCAACCATCTTACACGACGTAGGCTACCACGTTACACGACGTAGGCGGCTACGATATACGATGTCGGCGACTCCGATATATGATGTCGCCTACATCTCGACATGAGTGAAAACGCACCTTTAGAGACACTAATGACAAACGACTGTAAAATATCAAATTGTAATGTTTTAATACTGATTTGCAGATGTGTATAATTTTAACATATAGCTGGTTATAAAAGGGGGGGGGGAAAGAAAAGAGGTAAGCGCGGATTGTAACTGATATGGTGTGAGACACGGTGTATCCATGTCGATGGGGAAGTACAATTGAACGAATAAAGAGGCAGGAAAAAATGATGGGAAAAGGAAGTAAGGGAAAAAGATGGAAGAAGCGGAATATCTCTCGAGAAGGATCATGACATGAATTTCCTGTGTTATACTACTATAAGGGGAATTATGATAGTTACACGAGAAGAAATGTTTTGTTTTGTATATCTCTTAGGGATAAATAAACTTTTCAAAAAATACATCTCATCTAACTTCTCAGAAACATCATCGAATCCAGAGTGTATAGCGGTCATGGAAGATTTGCATGACCGCTATACACTTCTTTAGATAAAAAAAAGACATCAGCTTCACTTACTTTATATCCATTCTATTTTTGTATCAAAAGTTCTCTTACAATTCTTTTTTCTTCTTTCTTTTTTTGTCCCTTTAAATATCATCGGAGTGTAGTGGTCATGGAAACCTGGAAGATTTGCATGACCGCTATACACTTCTGTAGATAAAAAAAAAAACAGAAAATGTCATTTTTTAAGGATTTAACAAAGTTCCAGAAAAGTTACAAAATTCCAATACTTCCATGACTTTTCCAGGAGCCTGCAAATTTCCTGACATTTCCATGTTTTCGTGATCGCTATACGCCCTTGAATTTCTCTCTCTCTCTCTCTCGACGACGGCTTTTCCTTCCTCGCGACTTTGTTCTCCGAACGAATTTAATCGAGGAAATGTACAGTAGACTATCGTTTGCTGCTCGATTTGTATTAATTCGAATGTATTCAAAATTACGTGCGACACATAATATTTTACCCCTATATATATATATATGGGGCATTTTCCAGCAAAAAATACACAGATATAATGCCATGCTCATTATATTATTGCTTGTTGTAAGAGTGAGAGAGTGAGAGAGAGGGAGATCAACATCGAGCTGCAAAGTTATTTAAAAAGTTATCAATTATGAATTATCTTTACTTTATCTAAAAATAAGATCCCTGAATAAATGTTTATTTTATATATATATAACTCGCTCCTCTTCAATTGTGATAGAAATAATACACTCGATTGATGTTTTCGCGTAAAAAGAAAGATTTGATAAAAATTAAAAATCTATATTTTTTGGTTAGTGTTACCGAGTTTACAGATACTTAATTAAAATTGTCTGGATGACTCACAAACCTTATTTTCAGTTGCACTTGAAATTGAAAAGTCTTCACGAAATAAAAAATACAAATATTAATTTGAACGATTTCATGCGTATGTATACAGTACACGTGACACGGCATCAATCCCTTCCATCTGAAGTTAGCTGCCTATAGTGCACGTGCACTACAGAAATCCCAGAACACAGCTAACTTCAGTTGAAACGCATTATTGACGCCGATTGCAGAAGTTCTTTAAAAAGAACGTTCATTTCCGGCCAAGTGTGCGAATCGTGTGGACGGGCCTTTACGAGGTCGTAGTCGTATCTCGCGCCACCTGTCGGCGCGACGCCGAACTCGTCGCATCGAACGGCTCACCGCCGGGAAGCCGTTTCGCCGCTCTAGATACACGCACCACCATCGTTTTGTTTGCGTTCACCTTTGACAGTTACACGGGGCATTGTACATTTGAAAATCCGACGCGACGGATTAATGGCCGCGTGAGACAGTCGTCCGGCGGTCACACTTGCGCTCGTTCGGTGTCGTGCCTTCCTCGTTTCAGCGCGCCGTTCGTCGCGACGACGTCGAGCGCTTTTTCGCCCGCTGGTTTTTACCTCCGCCCTCGGCTGCTCGTCGACTTCTATGCCGTTGCCCCGCCGCTAGCCCGCTACTGAGGTAAGCGCGCGACGACGGGGGACACCGTCCGCCGGAGCGCGGTGTCGAAACTCGGCGCCGAGAATTCCTTTTTCGGTTATTCCACCAGTGACGACACTCGTCAGCCGACAGGTATTTTCCAAACCGTCGCTTCTCCAGCGTGTAAAATAAACGCGCGAGAGTATCTCTCGTGTTAGACCGAAGGAAAATCGACTTTGTGTATTTAACGTTACACTTACTTTTCCAATTTTCAGTTCTATTTTGAAAAGGAGGAGTCCGTTCATGAGGAGTCCGTGTTGAATTTGTCACTTGAGATTCTTATGCTCTGTTTTGTTGCTGAACTGGCTGCGCTAGGTCAGAGTTGATCTTTTTTACTTTATATTGGAAGGAAAAAGAAACTCTGACCTAGCACGGCCAATTCAGTAATAGAAAACGGACCTTTAATTGAAATCTGTTTGTTTACATCAGTGCTATTTGTCTGTGCGCTCTGGCTAGGCGTGTGTCAAACTTTCACTTATTTCAAAATTGTACATTTGCGTGTTTATTTTGAAATGTTATACGTCGATATGAGAAAACATGGATCCTTTACATTAGCTTGATGTTACTTCGAACGAAACAAAAGGGATATCCCAAATGAGTCATTCTTTCAGAATAATCAATCATGGAACAGGATACCGAATATATGAAATTGCCCCTGGAGGAGCGCTGTGCGCACAAGGTACTCCCCACATTCAAAATATTTGTAGTATTTTTCACATCCTACATTTGTCGTTATATTTTTTTCACTAATTACTTTAATGAACATATTGTAAACTGGATATATAAACATATGAATACATTTTTATTTTAGAGTCAAATGTAGATATTGTACATACGAGAAATTAATAGCTATAGAATAAGTTCAATGTATCGGTTTAAGTAACTAATTTTTTGTACGATATTGCGTAGTCCTGGCGAGCACGCTTACATGGATATGAGGAGTGTGTGAAGATGTTCCAGTGCATCGATGACGAAAAGTCCCCAGAGTGGAACAAGTACATTGGCTTTATCAAGAAGTTCGTGGTAGATAGTAATGTGGCCGCGCAGGAGAAGGGTCTGGAAGCGACCCTGGCTTTCGTGGAGAATGCCGCGATCGCCGGCAAGATAGTCATCGAGGTGATGAACGGCATCGTGTCCAAATGCATCGCCGCGCCTAAAGCCAAGACGAAGGAATTAGCTGTGCAAATCACGCTGATGTATATCGAGATCGAGAAGCACGAGGCGGTACAGGAGGAGCTGCTGAAGGGCACTGAGGCAAAGAATCCGAAAATCGTTTCGGCGTGCATCGCCACCTTGACGCTGGCGCTCAAGGAGTTTGGATCTAAAGTGATCAATTTGAAGCCACTGATAAAGAAGATGGCAAGCTTTCTAGATGACAGGGACAAGACAGTGCGAGAGGAGGGCAAAGCTATGGTGGTGGAGATGTATCGATGGGTGGGCGATCGCCTGGAGCAGCAGTTGAACACATTGAAACAGGTGCATATCGCGGAGCTTAAGGCAGAGTTTAGCAATCTTGCTGATGAGAAGGTGGTGCCTACGCGCTATTTACGCTCGCAGAAGCCGAAGAAGATGGGCAACAATGGCGATTCAGCAGCGGCGAGTGATAACGGCGAGGACGACAATGAAGACGCGGACGGTGCCTCAATCCCGGATATAGATCCGTATGATCTATTGTCGCCTGTAGACATTCTGTCAAA